GTGGAAAGACATATCTGCAAATAATGACAATTCTGGCATTCCCCCACCCCCCAATATTTATCCTCGATCCTTTTTCTTATTACATTGGCTGTGACCCCCCAGTGCAGTGTTCAAGTGGGCATCTGTGTTAGTTTCCTATTACTGCTATAACGAATTACCACCAACTTGGTGGGTTAAAGCAACAGAAGTTAATAATTACCCTACGGTTTTGGAGATCAAAAGTCCAAAATGGCGTTCGCTCGGCTACAGTCAGGATGTCTGCAGGGCTGTGTTCCTTTCGGAGGCTCTGAGGGGAGAATCCATTGCGTATTCTAGAGGCTGCCCTTCCTCCATCTTTCCAGCTGGGAGTGCAGCATCTTTCAATCTCTCCCTGACTCCAACTCTACTTCTCCTGCTTCCTCCTTTCACTCACAAGGATCCCTCTGAGTACACTGGGCTCACCCAGATAGTCCAGGATAATCTCCCCTTCTCAAAATTCTTAATTTAATCATATCTGCAAGATTTCCTTCCAGTGTTTAAGGTAACATATTCACGTGTTGCAGGTGGTAGGATATGGACATCTTTGGGGGCCCGTCATTCTGCCCACAACAGCATCCTTGCCTTAATCCAGATGTTTCAGGGAACGAGAGTAATATTTTAGCAGTAAAAGGTAAGGTTTGTTGCAGGCTTCCAACCGACCATTTTATCAAGCCAGGGAGTTTCCTCCTCTTCCTAGATTGCTAGATACAGCTTTTATCAGGAAAGGATGCTGAATTATTTTAAAATGTGGAGTCAGGCATCAGATGATCTTCTTCTCCTTGAAACTATTAACGTAATAACTTACATTCATAGAGGTCTTCATGCTGAAATAGCCTGCAAATTCTAGGATAATCTCTATTTGGTCATGATATATTATTCTTCTTATACAATTATGGGTTCAACTTGCTAATATTTTATTTACTATATAGTTACATGTACGTTCAAAGTGTGAGTGGCCCATGACCTTCATGTGTGCATCTGAGCATGCACACAATATACTCTTGCATAATTTTTAAAAAATATTTTTAAAATGTATTTGTTTTGAGAGAGACAGAGAACATGAGTGGAGGAGGGACAGAGAGAGAGGGAGACGCAGAATCCGAAGCAGGCTCCAGGCCCCAAGCTGTCAGCACAGAGTCTGACGCGGGGCTCGAACCCACAAGCCGCAAGATCATGACCTGAGCCGAAGTCGGACACTTAACCCACTGAGCCACCCAGGGGCCCTTCTTGCATAATTTTAAAATCAGGAATATTCCCTTAGGTGTACTTTATGCACAGGTCATTCTCACATATTTAATGTTAAAGAGCTAACAGATGATTTTTGAACCCTGACGCCCCAGATGGGTCTTTTTTTTTTTTTTTTTAATTTTTTTTTTTTTTTTAACGTTATTTTACTTTTGAGACAGAGACAGAGCATGAACGGGGGAGGGTCAGAGAGAGGGAGACACAGAATCGGAAGCAGGCTCCAGGCTCTGAGCCATCAGCCCAGAGCCCGACACGGGGCTCGAACTCACGGACCGTGAGATCGTGACCTGGGCTGAAGTCGGACGCTTAACTGACTGAGCCACCCAGGCGCCCCCCAGATGGGTCTTATACAGCAGCCTAGCATAAGTCACAAGCTCTACTTTATTTGATAGATTTAGTGGGGACATATTTTCGACTTTACAACAGTGACACAGCTCTGATGGACAGTCCTTGAGAAATAAAAATATATACATGCAAAGTTAGGGAGAATGACTAAATTGAGAATGATGCCTGGGAGAAGAGAAGCTCCATGGGGCGGGGCTGTCTGGAGGCCAGGCCCAGGCATCCGGGGTGGGTGTGGGGATCCTAGAAGTGGGAGCCAGCATCTGGGTCTTGGCTGTGCGCTGAGTGACTTTGGACAAAACCTTTGCCCCCTCTGTGGTCGCCCTTCTGCCTGTGTCAGGTTTAACGTGGAGTCTGAGACCCCCTCCCCCTTTCCCCATTGATCTTCTTGGATCTGTCCTCCCTGAACTGGACCCCTCCAATCACCACCCTTTACTGGGGGGGCTCAGATCCCTGGGGGACTGGAGTTCCCTTCCTCACCTCCTTCTGGAAACTTAAGGGTATTTTTGCGCAAACTCCCACAGAGTTTGGGGGAAATCTAACAGGAAAGGGATAAACCTTCAGCTGTTTTCTTAGTCCCTCCACTAGGCTGCTATTAGTTTGGCTCTTAAAGAGCCAGGCCCCCTTTTCTCACTGCCATCCGGCAGTGAGGCTTTCTACCTATTGGAGGAGACTTTGGGGCTGAGAAGGGGGAATCCCAGCCAAACTGGGGTTTCGCGTAGCCCCTTTGCAGCTGTTGGAGTCGTCCAAGGGCCTCCCCTCCGCTGGGCCTGGGAGGGCTCTAGGGGGCCAGGAGCTGTGTTGCCCGGGTTCTGTCCCCTCACTCTACATCAGACACTTTGTTGCTGGACCTCAGTGGGGTGGGTTCGCCCCTGCTCTTCCAGAGCCTAGAAGGGAAGACTGGAGGGCTTCCTGGAGGAGGCTGCGGAATGGGGAGGAGAAAGAGGCCAGCAGCAAGCCTTTGCACATTGGGGTGGGGGCTGGGGACTGGCGAAACCTTAAATGAGGCGCTGAATACAAGCGAGCAAAGACCACAAAAAAATACAATGTCTTAAAATGTTGATGTGTTTTGGAGATAGAATGGGTTAGTGTGGATGTTCCAAGTAAACCCTGGTAATTTTTTGAGATTTGGTGTTTGAGACCTATCTTCTCTGAAGAACTGGGTCTCCCACTGCAGAAAGGCACACATACATCAAAGGATGCCTTCACGGGAAGTCAAAATAGTTTCCCTGGCCCCAAGCTAAGAGATAGCTTGACGATGGTCTTCAAGTACATGGAAGGCGGCAAGTGGAGCCTGGCAGGTGCTCCGTTTATAGAGATAAAGGCAAAAAGATGGTGGCATTTTATAGCAGCACCATGTCTGCCTGAGGAAGAAATTGTATTGGCCCTTGGGAGCAGACTAGGGTTCCAAGAGGATAGAGAACCCCAAGACCAGCGTAGTCATGAAAAACAGTAGGCAAATAAGCCAGCCGTAGGTGCGCTATGTCACGCCCTGTGCGGGAGGCCATTAAAATCGGGTCATCCAGCTGAAATCAGAATCTTGGAGCCTGTAGAAAACATGTAAGTTTGAAGCATACGAAAGAATTTATAGCCCAGAAAAAGAAGCAAGCATTCCTGGGACCTTAAACTGTAACACTGCTCGGGGAGGTCTTCTGCCCTGGCCTGGTGTATGGATTCCACTCTGTGGCCAGCTTCGTAGCTTCTCTGATGGCTGGACTTCTTTAGGAGACACCCAGATTCTCTGGTCCCCTGAGCCCCAAATCTCAAGATTACTTGGGCAGATCGATCAGAACATAGAACATAGGCCCCAGGTCCCATCACAAACCACCCACCGAGGATCTCCAGGAACTGGGTCAGGACATCTCTGGTTGATTTTGAACAGCTGCCCTGTGGCTGACGCCTCGGGTCCTCGGGGCCAGGCTTGGGAAACACTGGCACGGGACAATGACAGTTGACCCCATCGATAGGGAGGCTGGAGGGAGCACAGAACTATTGGGTGTTCAAACGTCATGAAGTCAAATGTGGTTTTGAAAAGCTTCTCGTCAAAGCTGGCCTTTGACTTATTTCTCGCTTGGGAATCACTGTTCCACAATTTGTTTGGAATTTATTTGAAACAGCAACACTGGAGGCCGCACACTTGCTCTCCAGTTATGAGGCGGGATTCTGCGGTGTGAACGTCCTTCTGTTTGTATCTGAAGCTTATGCTGAAATGAGGATAATGGCAGCAGTGAACGTTTACAGTGTGCTTGCTCTGTATGTACTGGGGGCGGAGCTCAGCACTTGACGCGAGTTTATGTCAAGTAAAAAGGCTTGACGGAGGATGAGGCAGTACGGTTATTGGCCCCATTTTACAGCTGGAAAAACCAACGTGCGGAGAAGTGACCGGCGTGGTGATTCACCACGGTGGAGTCTTGCCCAGTCTCCAGACTCCTGCTGCTGACACTGCTCTCTGCCACCGCTAATTCTGTCCCCTCTGCAGGAATTCCTCAGGTCGCCCCCATCCGTGTGGATGTTTCCCTGGGGCAGCTGGGCTACCCCATGGCACCCACCGTTCCCTCCTCACACCCCTAAGCTCCCTTTGTTGACGGCTTTTCCCCCGCAGGCCTGTGTTGTGGAGAGCTGCCGATGGGACTCACGGCCCCCGAAGCTCACTGTGGTCGGTGCTCAGGGTTGCGCCTCCCTCTGCGCCACCCCCTGCCCCGTCCTGCTGGCCCAGGGCCCTTTCCTGTGGGATTTGCCGCCACCTTGTGCTCAGGGCGCCCCCACCCCACCCCCATCCCGCGCTCTTGGACATGTCCTCTGTTTCGTTCAGGACTCAGGCATGGGTCCCAGAGGACAGACGAATGCGGGGCACTGGGGTGTATTTGTCCCCTCCCCCCACTGACACATGTCCACTGTCCTCAAACCATACTTGTGCACCCAGTCCCCCATGTGAAGAGATCCTAGCAAGCCCCCACCTGGCCCCCACATACACCTGGACAAGCTTGATCCTAAGGATAAACACAGAACGAAAGAGACGATAATGAGGACAAGGGACTTGCCAATAACAACAAGTATCAGAGCCAAAATTGAAGCTTAGGCATCCCTCCAGCCCTTCTGGGCCATATGCTGCCCCTCTGTGCAGTACCTGGACTCTAACTTTTTTTTTTTGATTAAGTATTTATTTATTTCTTGGGAGACAGAGAGACAAGGGGAAGAGAGAGAGAGAGGGAGACACAGAATCTGAAGCAGGTTCCAGGCTCTGAGCTGTCAGCACAGAGCCTGACGCGGGGCTCGAACTCTCAACCAGGAGATCAATGACCTGGGTCGAAGTCGGACACCCAACCGACTGAGCCACCCAGGCGCCCCTGTGTGGTACCTGAACTCTAAAACCAAGTAAAGCACGTTGGCCCTACCTGAGGGACACCACTGCTTTCTTTCAGAGCGCTCTTTACCAGGTGGGAGGTAGCTGGGATCCAAACCACGGGTTGGTCTGATTCCAGAGCCGGTAGACTAGCTTCCTGGGTAAAGAATCCATGAAGGAATTATAAATACGCCATCGATGCGGCGAGTGTGCTGAATGTATACACTAATTTAAACTTTTGAAAATGGCTGGTGACTGACCTCAGGATGGTGAGGTGTGGGGGGAGTACAGAGGTTAGTTCATTCGAACACACATCTTCCAGTTACACACTCTCAAAGCAAGTCTGGGTTTCTGGCCAGGTGGGTAGCTGGAGGGGAGCCGTGGCTTTGCTCCCACGCGTCCTCAGCACGATGAGATGTTGAACATTTGTTCCCGCCTGCCTCTTTCTCGTCCTTGCTGGCCTGTTTCCTCTTACAGAAGAGGGTTATAATAATCGAAATTGTGCAGGCATCCATGGAAATGAGATGAGATGATGGGATGAAAAGCGCTTAGTAATCCACAAACCAGCAGAAAAATGGAAATCGTCCCCATCTTTCTCTCACTGGGCAACTGGACCATGTTTGTTTGTTCTTGTCGGGGGGTGGGGGGAATCTTTAGCAGGAGAACGTGGCCAGGGGTGATGGAATCAGCTGTGATGCCAGTGCGTGTGGCCGAATAGCACGGAGGGAAGAAAGCGCCCGTGAGGTGTGCTTTGCTCTCCGTGTGGACGTGCTCTCTGGGTCTGGAATACCGACCAAGGCAAACAGGCGGGGCTCCTTCCGCAGCCCCGTGACTAATCAGCAAGCATCGGAAGCCCAGCCTGCAAATCACACTTAATTGTTCGCATATGTTCTCCAAGCTCTCCGTTTATGGCGAAGGTACCAGAAGGGTCTTCGCCGTGCTGATCTGTAAACACATAGTGCAGGGGCCTGTTTGGAAATGGGCTCAAGTGAACAAATCAGTCGTTGTTCTGGGGAGCCCACTGTGAGTCCTGCAGAAACGACCCCAGCCTTAAAGCCGTCTCCCTCGCTAAAATGCATCAAGGCTGGATCCCAGATAATGACCCCATTGTCCAAAACTGAAAATCCGCGAACTCCAGCGGTCCTGTTTCCCCGAAAGAGCAGCCTTCTCGGCTCAGCAGAGGTACTGTGAGCGTCTGGGCCGCGTGGTTCCTTCTTGTGGGGACCAGCCCGTGCCTCGCGGCCGTGAACCTGCCTGACTTCTTCCCACGAGACACCACAGCACGCCAGCACCCCCAACCCGGTTGTAACACACGAGGACGTCTCCAGATGTCCCCCAGGGGCCCAGATTGCCTGCAGTTGAGAACCAGTGAGCGAGGGTGCAGGTGAGAGCTGGGCTGGTCCAGTCAGTGTGAGCAAAAGTGGGGCTTAGAGGGGAGGATAAAGGAACTTCGGGCTAGAGCAGAGCCAAGAGGATGCCTCTGTGAATAAAGAAAGCCGAGTTCCAAGACGGTGCAAACAGCCTTTGCTTCAACTGGCCATCCTCAAATTGTCCTTGTAAGGCGATGGCGGAGGATGCTGAAATGGGCCGGACCACTTAAAGCGTAAGCCTTGGGCCCGGCGTGAGGTAGAGTATCAGCAGCGAGGACAACAGGAGTTTGGACGAGCGGAAGATCACTGAGACCCAGCCTTGCGGTCGCTGGCGTCTGCTGGGATGGCAGGGTCCCTGTGAGGCAGAGGCTGGGACATCTGCGCACGTTGGCACACACACGTGCATGAATGCACACGTAGTGAAAACGGCAAACTCCTTACTCTAGTCCCCGCCCTGCGGAGCGGGGATCGAGCCCTGCCGGAGAGTGGCTCAGGGCCAAGCGGGAAGCGGTGCAGACCCGGCCCCTCTGATGGAGTCAGGTGCAGGGGCAGGACCAGACATTTGCTCTCGGGTCGAGAGGTATGGTGTTACAACCTCAGCCACATATACAGGTCTTTTCCATTAAAAAGAAGATGCGCTCAGGTACCAGCTACTCGCCGTCGTGAGAAGGAATAATATTTTTCTAGTGGGGTTTCTATTGAGATTTTGGCATGTCTTTAGGGCCACGGAAGCTGGTGCTTTATGTTGGCACCACGGCCTTGGTTGTGTGCGTGTGGGTGCGCGTCTTTAACACACGGCCATACACGTGTCAGGTTTCTTCTGGAACCTGTTCTGACCTGTCCCTGGCCTCACCCCACACAGCTGGACACAGCAACCCCCGCGCTGGCGATTGCCCGGTCAACAGATTCTGTGACAGGACAGGATGATCCCAGGTGGGGTGGGGGGGGGGGGGGGCCACAGGGGAAAGGGGGGGGGGGTGGCTGTTTATCCCCATGACGCTCAACCTTGACTGACTGTCTACTCCAGCTGTTGGCCGGGTTGGGGGGGCGGGGGCGGGGGCTCGTCATCTCTCAGCGGAATCTGAAAAAGACAAAGCCCTATGACGGTCCAAATCAGAAGCATGCTGCAGGCCTCCTGGAGACCTCGTGCTCTCTGCCCCCTCCCCCAAAAGCCCTCCCCCCACTCGATACATCCCTCTGCCTCCCTCCCCTTCATTCTCTGGAGGATAAAAGGCAGGTAATGAAACACCTTTCTTTTAGGATGCCTTTACCTTTAAGGTGCGAGGGATAAGACCCCCCAATCCGGGGAAATGCCGGTTCAGGCTTTGCCTTCGGCATTGAGAATCACTGGAAAAGAACAGCCTTACGTGCCACAGTGTCATTTTTCTCCAAAAAGAGAAATGACGAGTAAAGCATCTGTTGTTGGGGGCCTTCCCGCTTTCCGTCCTGATAAGTAAGCAGCCTGTGGCTGTCATGTACATGCTCCGGGAAACAAGATGCTGGCGCCTTGAACTCCCTGCTCTGCTCTTTTCTCTGCAGACGCTGCTCTGGGTGTCTGGGCGAGCCCCATAATCTTCCTTTGCCGCCACCCCCATCCCTGCGTCTGGAGGAGTGTTTTCTCTTCCCGGGTGTGTAGGCAGCCTTTCCGGGATAAAACCCACCCGTGTTCTGCCATCTAGCTGTTCCTTTGCAGGGCTTAGCTCTCATCTGGTGATGGGGGCATTTTCAGCGGTTTTCAGCTGAGAGCAGAGAGTACTCCTCACTCTAAAACTTGTGCTCGGCCCTGCCGTCCTGTGCCTCCCCCGTCGGTGCCTCTCAGGTGCCCACCGAGCCCACAGCCCCGGCGAAGTCTTTGTTCTGTGAAGGGAGAGCCTTTCGGGAAGGCTTGCCTCCTGGAACTCTTTCTGGAAGGTTCTGGGCTCCTCCAAGCCACAGCACCCCAAGCCCCCACCTGCCTAGACCCTGGCTGCTTCCGTTTCCCACAGTCTGCTCTGACTCGAAGCCACGGCGTCCCTCTCAAGAGGGTTCCAGAAGGAAATTAATGCGAGCGGTACATCTTGCAACGAAATGCTAAAATAGCAATCAGTGGAACTATTTCCCTGACGTGCAGGTCTAATGTGCTGCGTTGAATCAAAAGTCTTGCTCAGTGAGCCAACTCATTAAATCCTTATGAGCGGCCATCCTCAGAGATTTTCCTTCTCACACATTCTCCTGCTCATTCTGTCCCAGTTCAGCCCTATCACGACTGCCGTTTCTTGTACTTGCCTCGTAACTACCTCTCAGGGATGTGAGAGGCCAGGGTCGTTCGCGGTGGCCGTGATGGAGGATGTGAGTGGAAATAAAGGAGAGAGGAAGAACACCTCTTCCTGTCCCCATTATGTGGGATCCATCGCCTTTCCCAAACCCGGGTTCCTGACGTTCATCCAAGACGTAAAGGACCCAGACCGTGAAAGATTTCCCTTGGGCAAGCCATGTGTTCTGGGTCCAGGCAATGCTCAATTATGTGCAGGAAATGGAAGCAGAGCAGGAAAAGCTCAGAAACGTGAAAACCTGGATAATCCTGAAAAACCCTTTGGCCGTTCATTCTAACCCTCCCCCGTATTCCATTTCCAGCAGCCATTCACAAAAGGGCGTGCCTGGGGAAGGGAAGTGCTCAGACAATCCAAATGACCGATTCGGGATTCCGACGGGTGTTGTTGCTTTCTCTGCATCCTGTGGTAGAATCCAGTTTTTATTATGAGTGACCTAACCTGGAGGAGACCTTGAGAAACGCAAAGGAGAATGGTCCCCAGGTGGCCCTGTCAGTCACCCCCCGAGAAGGTCACCGCGGGGCCTCCTGGAATAGAGCACCTGCATGTGGGGGCTCGCGGTGACCACGGCCTGCACCGTCACACTCAGACATCAAGCACGAGTGGCTTGGGGTGGCTCCCACAGCTACTGAGGCCGACCACGACCCCGGCTGTCGGGGTGGGGGTGCAGGTCTGGGCGCAGGCTCTGGCCGGGCAGTGCTACACTCTGGGCTGCTCAGGCTTTTAAAGGCTCGAAGGTCCTTCTTGGCGTGACAGATAGGAGGCTCGGACCTTGCTCAAAGCGACAGGTTTCTGAACACTGTTCAGTGGGAACAAACAGTAATTTGGACTTTGCTTTTCAGCCTGGACTCTTTCCTGTATGGCCTTCACACCCTCTTCAAAGGTGACTTTAGAATAACAGCACGAGACGAGTGGGTATTTGCCGACATGGACCTCCTGCATAAAGTTGTCGCCCCGGCCATCAGGATGTCCCTGAAGCTTCACCAGGTAAAAACCAAAACAACAATCCATTTTTTATAAAAGGATAAGCCTGAAACATGATGGGGGACAAAGCCTTTTTCAAAAACATGGTCCCTTTTCTTGGCCTGACGTTTATGAGCGGGCGTGTAACTAAGCATCGAGGCCGTCCAGATATTCTTGACCTCAGCGGTGGTGATTGGTCTGCAAGAGCTGCTGGGGGGTGGTGATGTCCCGCCAGGACAGAGAAGGGGAGCTGGCCACCGAAAATGACATCTCAGAAGTACCCAAACTGTATTGCAAAGGCAGAGAAACCTAAGGCTGAAAGCTGTTTCCCTAGGCACGTTCCAGTGGTTAGGACAATGGGACGAGGACGTGTCCTCTACCCCGTCGGGATTCGGAAGGAGTGTGGGAAGAGAGTCCACGCGGAGTGGACTTGGCCCTTCGGGTCACCGGCCGAGTCGCCATGTGGTCACTCACCCACGGATCAGCTCGCTGGTCTTCCTCGAGCCCGCACATGGACCTCTTTCCCCCCTCAGGACCAGTTCACTTGCCCCGATGAATATGAAGACCCAGGGGTCCTCTATGAGGCCATCCAGTCCTTCGAGAAGAAAGTCGTGATCTGCCACGAGGGCGACCCGGCCTGGAGGGGCGCCGTGCTGTCCAACAAGGAGGAGCTGCTCACCCTGCGTCACGTGGTGGACGAGGGCACTGACGAGTACAAGGTCATCATGCTCCACAGGACCTTCCTGAGCTTCAAGGTGATCAAGGTACAGTGGCCCTACCTCCCGGCTGGCACCAGCGGTCACGTCTCAGGGACACAGTCTTGGAGTAGCGGAGGTGGGCAAAGGGGCCAGGGTCCCTCGAGCCTGTGAGAACCAGTGTGTCCACAAGGGCTTTGGCGAGGAGTCCTGGTAGACACGCGTGTAGATGAGGGTCAGGATCTGCCTTGTTTTTAAACACTTTTCTAGTTCGCCAAAGTTCCAGAACTTTCTGTAATAACCTATCCCTGGACCTGGGGGCTTTCTTACCAGTGTTTCTTTTCTTCGTATAGCTTCGAACCACTGGACCAAAGCAACAGCTTTCTTATTCGCCCTGTTTCCCCATGAAAGTGGCATCATACCCATCTTACAGGACTGCCCGCGGCTCCGGCTTGACTGCGAAAACAGCTTTAGGCCAAAGTCCTGTGGTCACAGATACTCAGACCCACAGCCCCAGTCGCTCTCCGTAGGTTAAAATCAACAGACTGAAAACACATGCCACCATCTGCTTTTCCCTCCGTTCCTTCCCCCACCTGCAGGTTAACAAAGAATGTGTCCGCGGCCTCTGGGCCGGGCAGCAGCAAGAGCTCATATTCCTTCGCAACCGCAACCCGGAGCGCGGAAGCATCCAGAACAACAAGCAGGTCCTCCGAAACTTGATTAACTCCTCCTGTGACCAGCCCTTGGGGTACCCCATGTACGTCTCCCCACTAACCACGTCCTATCTAGGGACCCACAGGCAGCTGCAGAGCGTCTGGAGCGGCCCTGTCACTTTGGACGGCATCAGGACGTGGTTCCGAACCAAGTGGTTAAGGTAGGTCTTTACCACCAAGGCCTTCATCCAGACGTTGGGGGGGCCGGGCGGCGGGGAGAGCTCCCCCACTTCTGGTTAGAGTTTCACTGTTGTGTGATTAAAACCGCTATTCCCGTGTGGCCTAACAGATCATTTGTTTCCCTGAGCAGTCTCGGATGACGAATCAGGGAAACCTCACGCAGATGAGAATCTGTGTCCCTCGCCCTTGCTGAGGCTGAGGTCTGGCTGGCGTTCGTGCACGGCGTTCACGCACAGCGTTTGTGCAGGGCATTCGTCACAGCGTTCATAAACCGCTTTCCTGCACAGGGTTCGCGCACGGCGTTCGCGCGCAGCGTTCGCGCACGGCGATCACGCAGAGCATTTGTACGCAGCGTTCGTAAACAACGTTCGGGCACAGCACTCGTGCACGGCGCTCGTGCAGAGTGGCACGGGTTATGGGTTTGCAGGAGTAGCTGTTGTACATCTGTTACGGGGCCGGGGCCTGAACTCCCCCAGCACACGGCTTCCAACCAATAAGCCTTTCTGCTTGGGATAATGTCCCTGGTTAGCTGGGATGAATTCTAGGCGGTTTGGCCCAAGTATGGCAGAGCTCCAGATCTCAGGCCTCGAAGCCCAGGGTTCTTTCAGAAGGTCAAGGCTGCAGCATGTGGATCTCGATGTGTCATTCATTTCTCAGGCACTGGCATCTGGGGAGCAGACCCCTCCCCCGCTCCCCTGCATCCCAAGTGTGGTGCTCACCTGTAGAGTGTGGTCTTTTTTAATCCTGATTTCCACAGGGGTGTGGTGGGGCTTTGGTGGGGGGGGGGCAGGTAGAAATGTCTGGTGAGGGCCCTTGAAGTCCCTCTCCCCCGACAGGATGCGGAAGGGCTGTAACGCCGGCCAGCATGGTACAGGCAACATCGAAGACGTGGATGGGAGGGCTGCCCCGTCTGCAGGAGGCGGCCGCGCTCCGGGTGGCGAGAACCAGGAGAGCAGCACCGAGCAGCCCAGAAAAGATGGGACCCACCACTGGTCACCGCACGAAGGGACACAGAGGACAGGTGGGTGCAGCGGGCCTCATGGTTACTGATCAAGGTTCCTCTGGTCCCCGTGACTGACACCACGGGTTATGCTGTCATTCTAGCCTCGGAGAACTTCTTACAAAAAGAAAAAATCAGGATTGGGCCACAGGATGCCCTAATTTACTGACTCTTAAAGGTTCTACCCAGGAAAACCTCTGGTGGACTCAGCTTTTTTTTTTTTTTTTTTTTTAAGTTTATTTATTTTGAGAGAGCACACAAGTTGGGGAGGGGCAGAGAGAGAGGGAGGGAGGGAATCCCAAACAGGTTTCGCACTGTCAGCAAGAGCCCAACAAGGGGCTCAAACTCACAAACCGTGAGATTATGACCTGAGCCGAAATCAAGAGTTGGATGCTTAACCGACAGAGCCACCCAGACGCCCCTATTAGAACTCAACTTTTATCCTTTATCCATATCCTATTACCTTAGCCAGCCATCTGTCTGTCTGTCCATCTGTTCCCCCCCTCTTACTCACTTGGTGGCCATCGGATCGTGTGCCTACTGTGTGTGGCTGTGCTGTAGCTACCGATCCAGGCTGGCATGTGCCTCCCTTCCGGGAGTGGACCCTCATTCCTCTCTGCATCTGTGGGGTGCACAGACAGGCCTCCTGCCCCCCCTTTCCTGCTTCTCTCTGGTTCCTGCCTCCACCCCCCCGCCACGTACACCTGCCATCTCAGAGGACAAGAAACGAGGCGGAAAAGGGCGCCGGCAGACCTGATGGACGAGGTGCACTGGTCCATGCCTGGGGAGAGTTTAAAGTTTAGAATCGCTTTGCAACTGATGCCCACCTAGTGAGGCTCACCCAGGTGGATGAGGTTCTGAAGCCCGCTCCCCTGGGGAGAGGGTAGGAGAGGCGGCACCGAGGGCTCGAGAGGACACGCCAGGTGGCTTCAGGACGGGCAGCTGCTGCGTCCTAGCTCCTGCCCACACATCGGTGTTCGGCTTTGCCCTTCACAACCTGTTAAGCTGTTTCACCTTTTGGCCTTGGCGCTTCCTTACCATCCAGAAGCCTTCGCTAAACACCTCTCTGTGCATGTCCCACAGGCCAGCTCTGTACGGAGGGAGTTAGCAAGGGACGGTCCCTGCCTCCTGGAAGTGCCCCAAGCAAGGCTGAGGATTTGACTGAAACAGTGAGGGTTTACATAAACACAGGCAAGGTGGTAGGTAGATAGATGATAGGAAGGAATGAAGGAGGAAGAAGAAAGAAAAAGAAAGAAAGAAAGAAAGAAAGAAGAAAGAAAGAAAGAAAGAAAGAAAGAAAATAGTATAATACATATAGGGAGGGACACCTGAGTGTCTTAGTTAAGCGTCCAGCTCTTGATTTCAGCTCAGATCGTGATCTCAGGGCTCATGAGTTCAAGCCCCGCTTTGGGCTCTGCACTGATGGTTAGGCGCCTGCTTGGGATTCTCTCTCACCCTCTCTCTGCCCCTCCCCTGCTTGTGCGCTCTCTTTCTCAAAATAAATAAACTTAAAAAATATATATACATAGGGAGGGGTGGGGGGAGAGATGACTGATAGATGACAGAGATGGATAAGCCCGAGGGACGGAAAGGTAGAAGATGGGAAGGAAGAAGATGGGGAGAGAGAGGGAGATGGGTGGATAGGCAGAGCGGCTGGCGTTAGCTGCTCAGAGGGGACAGAACCCCCTGCCCCTTGACTGAAGCCATCCTCCCTGAACGCTGAGTGAGCGGTGCCCCTGCCCGGCCCGAGGCCTCAGTGTGTGGCTCGCTCTCAGGCTGGGACTTTCTTACTGCTTGGTTGACCCTTGTTGTTACTGAATGAGGGATGTTAAGGTTCAAGATCACCGAAGTGATTTTCCAGATGGGAACGTGCAAGGTGGCTTCCACATGGAGAAGAGCCTGCGTGTTTGTCCAGGTGGCTCGTCTGCGGCGGAGAAAGTCTGGGCCCGGGGGATCTGGCGGGAGGAAGGCCGGGTGTGCTGGACGAGCCTCGGACCCAGTGAGACGCCTCCTCTTCGTAAGGAGTAAAAGGGTGCCTGCTGTGCTGGGCCCGGCAGAGGCTAGAGTTCCTCCCTCTCCTCACAGCCCAGACGCCGTGGGTCGTGAGTGTTCTTCCCATTTACAGCCAGAGGCCAGCACCTGGGAGCAAATACAGACTTTGGGGGCAGATGTTACAGCAGGATCTTCCAGAGGCCAAACCAGCTGTTAAGTTTTCCTTATTGCTTCTCAAAACTGCTCCTGCCAAGGTCACTCCTGGCTTTCCATGCTCTCCAAGGTGCCTGGGCTCCCAGCCC